TTTTTAGTTGTCCAGCTAATTTCTTTTATTTTTAGTAGAGACAGGGTCTCGCTGTTGAGCTCAAAGGATCCTCCCATCTGGGCCTCCCAGAGTGCTAGGATTACAGGCGGGAGCCACCACGCCCAGCCAACACTGACTCTTGGTCCCAGAGAATCTTTCACTTTTTGTTTTTGTGCCTAGAGAAGGGAGGAGCGCTAACAGCTAAAGGGAGGAATATTCCGTGGTTTTCTGTGGCCTTTGAGAGAAGCATTGCCAATTAGGAAGCGACTTTTCTGAAGTCACATGGGTAATTAAGGTCTGAGCTGGGACTGTTAACTGCCTGTTTACTTAGGGTCCTCAATATTTGTTGAACAAATTAATGACCAAAAACATCTATCCATGTGTCTGTGCAATGGGTGTATCTTCCTGATGGCCCGTTGGGTGCATGGGAATTGTGCTTTGACTAATGCCACTGTGGTGTTCAGGAGCGTTCCCTGGGTTGGTTTGCTGGGTATTGATTGATAGGACTGGGGCTTGGGAAGAGACCCTTTCTGGCTGGGCAGAGGCTTTCTGGGTTTCCCTTGTGCTTGGTGTGATAGTGATCTCTTTACCTGACTCTTCTCCCTTTCACACTGATCTCCCTGAGGGTGGGAATCAAACGTGTTTTGCAGTCTTCCTGGCAGACAACACAGTGCTTAGGTAGGCTCTTTGTAAATGGTCTGTAAATGCTTACTGAAGGAGGCCGCAGCAGAGAACTCAGAACCTGACAGCAGTTCTTTACTAGTATTATATTTTAAAAGTGTTAGCATATTCTATAAGTAAATTTCCTGATAATCTGAAGGACAATGAGTTTATGAAATGTGAACAGTGACGGTATAAAAAGAACAGACATCATTCTTGTAGTAATGTTATTCCTTGGGAAGAGAAGGTTTTTCTCAGCTCCTTTTGAAAGTTTTGCTACACTTCTCAGCTTGCATTAATATTTTTTTTCTCCTTTCCTCTGCCTTCTGTCTTACTGGATGTCTAAATAAATTAAAGAATTAATTTATTAGTGTCAACAGCTACCAAAAACTGCAAACAATAAACTGTTAAAAATGTTACAAAAAAGGGGCTAGTTGAACCAACCAGTCTTGTTTTCTTGATTGTATATTTGCTCCCAAAGTTGATCATGGAAATGGAAAATTGGACTTTCCTGCCTCTTTACCTTCTTGGCCCCTTAGGTTTCTTATTAAAAAGTGGTTCCCAGCTGTAAATGGGCAACACTACATGTGAACGGATCTCTAAATGCTGATGGGTCACTCATCCCTTCTGTCACTTCTGTTGTTTTGGTCTATGCCTGGGACTTCTCTTTGACTCTCCTTTTCTGTCCTTGAGGAACAGGAACAAGTTTTCCTCCTTTTCATAAAAAGCCACCTTTACAGCTAAGAGAGCACTAAATAGAGGAACTGGGATATTCGGAAGAGTTAGTTGTGAACAGTTAACCCTGAATTCCAGCTCTTGCAACAAAATAGTAATGTAATTATAGCAGTTTTCACCTTTGGACTATCTGCTGCAGGGCTGTTTGGACATCTCATGTAATTCTCACAGTAACCCCATGAAGTAACTAGTTGTGTCTTGTCCATCGGGTAAGAAAACTGAGGCTTGGAGAGTTTTACAAGGTCATACATACCACTGAGAAGGCAAAGTGGGCTTCAGGCTCAGAGCTGTCAGATTCTAAAGGCAGTGTTTTACTTTCATCTGTTAAGTTGTCTGTTTGGATTTAATGCTTTTAAAATGACTTGAATTTAAAATAATTTGGATTGTTGAATATGGTTTATATTTTAACACTTTCTGTAGGTTTTATTTGCATTGAAGTGATGTGGTTATTGTGCGGATGTAAATAGTGAAGTGTTGAAATAAGTTACGGAGTGGTGTGGAATTCAGCACACTAAGGTAAAGTCAGAGACTAGTTTGATTATGTATTCCGGGTTTTTTTTTTATTTTTGTTTTTTTTTCCTCTAAGGAGTGTTCAAATTTTGATCCTCAAGGGCATTTTAACTTCTTAAGTGTTCTAAGCCTTTTGAGAAGCAGCCTGATGTTTCTTTAGAATGTTTTTGGCAAATTTTGGTTAGGGGGATAGTGAATAAATAATGATAACAGTAGTGGTAGTAATAATTGCTGTGGAAGCGGATACCATTGTTAACAGAAAAAAAGCCAAACTCTTTAAAATAATTTTAAAGAGATTTACTCTGAGCCAAATTTGAGAACCATGACCTGGAGCCACGCCCAAGAAGCCTTGAGCAAGTGGACTCGGTGTGGCTGGGTTACAGTTTGGTTTTATACATTTCAGGGAGACGGGTTACAGGTAAAGTCATAAATCAATACGTGGGAAGCATACATTGGTTTGGCCCAAAAAGGTGGGCCATCTCGAAGCAGGGGGGGGGGCTTACAGGTTATAGGTGGGTTTAAAAAGTCTTCGACTTGTAATTGGTTAAAGACATGAAGCTTTGTCTACAGGCTTGGAATGTTTTAAGAGGCTCTTAATCAGAGATAGGCCACCTGACATAGATTTGTTTTGTAAATTGAGGACCTGCAGGTTTGTCTTGCATACCCTTAGGCCTGTTAATGGGTTACATAGGATGTCCCCAAGAAGGGAGGGGGGCATGATGAGGCATGTCTGACCTCCCTCCTCCTGGTGGGCAATTCAGTTTTAGGATATTCGTTTGGCCACGAGGAGGTCGATTCAGTCAGCCGGTTGGGGGGGTGAGCCTTAAAATTTTATTTTAGTTCATACTATGTATTGAATTTTAATGCCTGTCAGGTACCATGCCAAACATATATTATCTCACCCCATTTTCCAAACATCAAGTAGGTGGTGTATTCTCATTTTTTAGATCAGAAAACTAAGGCTTTAAAAAGGTAAATAACTTGCCAAAGGTAATTTATAACTGATTGAGTCAGGAGTTGAGCACAAGTCTTTTGACTCCAAAGCCTATACGCATAAACATTAGGCTTTATGAATTTTTAAAAGTATATGATCAAAATTATACTTTATGATTTTTAGTTGCTAAAGATACTCTCTCAGTTCCTCCCCCCAATTTAAAGACAAAAGCAAAGAACTGTCAGAAGGAAGGTTCAAGTAGGTAGATTTCATCTAGGTTTTTTTTTTTTTTTTATTTTGGTATATTTGAAGATAATTTAAATTTTGCTTATGTATTTACATTTATCAAAATAATACATGTACATGGATTGAAAAGCCAAACAGTACTTTAAACCTTAAAATAAAAAACATCAGTCCTTTGCCTACCCTCTTTAACTAGAGACAACCATTTTCATCTTTCTTAGCTAGTTTTTTATAGTATTTGCTCTTATATTTTATGGATATGATAAAATTGGTTTAGATGTAATCTTTTGACTTCCTTTCATATAAGACTTTTGCTGCTGTAAAACATTCTTCAATGCAATCTACCAGTCAAAAATCTTTGAATAATGTACCCCTCCACCGCCAGTGCTCTGTCCTGCTCTAGTCTGAACTGGTGGTTTTTCCAGGCCTGGGGCACAGCTGTCTTTCTGGGAATTTTCTTTCTCTTGGTTCCTTATGGAATGGATCCCTAGTTCCTCTTGGTTTCTTCTATTTTGATGAAACATGTTCACTAGGTTCTGGAAACAGAGTACATGGAAGGTAAATCTTAAGACTTTGAGCACATGTGTAAAAGTCTTTATTTATCTACATGATTACTAATTTGACTTGGGTGTGGAATTCTGGCTTGTAAATAATTTTCTCTCAGCATTTTGAAGGTGTTGTTCCAGATGTCCTATGCCTCACTGCTGGTCCTTTATGCAGGTGACCTCTTTTCTCCTTCGATAAGTTGTTAGGTTCTCTTCTTTGTCCCTAGTGCTCTAAAATTTCACAGTCATCTGTCTACCTTAAGGATCTTTTAAAATTCTTCCTGCTGG